GATTTATGGAAGAGGGGAACGAAAACCACATTTCTGACCCAGGGAACTCTGATTCTCAGAGGTGTCATCTGACAATAGTCCCTTGCCACCGAGCTTGAGTCTACTACCCCTTAATGAAATGGGCAAAGACTCACAATGGGCGTTGCCATCACACAGCTGAATTCAAAATGCTTAAGCACCACATGCGGCTGCAAGGATGCCACATGTTCCACGAGGGAGAACTGGCTTCACTGCCTCATCCACTAAGATCAGAATTCCATCTATCTGTAAATATTTCTTCAAGGAACGAATCCTCTGGCTGCTAATGGGATTGCAGTATAAATTAATAACCACATTGTACTGGCTGGTTTTGTGTGTCAATTTGACACAAGCTAGAGTCATCAGAGAGGAAGGAGCGTCAGCTGAGGAAATGCCTCCGTGAGATCCAGCTGCGGGGCATTTTCTCAATTAGTGATCAATGGGGGAGGGTTCAGTCCATGGTGGGTGGTGCCATCCCTGGGCTGGTGATCCTGGGTTCTATAAGAAAGCAGGCTCAGCAAGCCATGGAAGCAAACCAGTAAGCAGCACCCCTCCATGGCCTCTGCATCAGCTTCTACCTTCAGGTTCCTGCCCTGTCTGAGTTCCTGTCCTGACTTCCTTCAGTAATGGAAGGCAATGAGGAAGTGTGAGCTGAATAAACCCTTTCCTCCCCAATTTACTCCTTGGTCATGGTGTTTCATTGCAGCAACAGAAACCCTAACTGAGACACACATATATGTTCAATCTGGCCCCTTAACCCTTAAAAAGGCTAGGAGGAGTGGTTGGCAGGACCACTGTTTTCCCACATTCTAGCTTTCCATGGATCTTCTCCATTATTTAAAGATTTTTTTCATAATTATTGTGTATGAGTGTATATGTACGTTGCATGTGGGCACCCAAAAAAGCCAGAAGGAGCAGTCTGAGTTTCTCATGCCAGAGTTGTAGGCTGTTGTGAGACATCTGATGTGGGTGTTGGGAACCCAACTTACGGTCCTTCCCAAGAGCAGCAAACTCTCTTAACCACTGGGCCATCTCTCAGCCATCCTTCTGCATTATTAATAACTAAAAAGACAACTGAAACATTTTTCATCTTTGTTTCTTTTACCTAAAAGGGGATGTTTATGACAAATGTAGGATCTGTAGGCCTCATATAATCTAACCATAACAATGGTTATGTAGCTGTCAAGACAGAACATATATTATGCACTCCGCAAAACAGATTGAACACGCACAACACATTCTTACACTGCATTACCACACAGAATGAACATCCGTGCAGTTTTCCACAATTGCCCTATGACATACCAAATACATATATAACAGTACTTCAAATCCCAGGTCCCAAGGCCAAGTACATGGAGAATATACCATTTGGCCTCTATTACAGCACAGACCACAAGAAAAGTTATCTTCATCTTCTCTCTCCTGTAGTTCCTACTGTGGTGCATCTCCTTGAAGGTAATTAGCTCAAACTGCTAATCAGTTTGCATTACAGCAGTGGTTCTCAACCTGTGGGTCATGACCCTTTCACAGGGGTTACCTAAGACCTTCAGAAAACACAAATATTTACATTATGGTTCATAACAGTAGCAAAGTTACAATTGTGAAGTGGCAATAATTTTATGGTTGGGGGTCACCACCACATGAAGAACTTTACTAGAGGGGTGCAGCAGTAGGAAGGGTGAGAACTGCTGGTCTAGCGGCCTATGGTGCTATAATAATACAGGTGTCTCTCTGGGCATTTCTATAACCAGAAGGCTGTTCTGCCTGCGGGGCCTTAAACTTAAAAACAAAACAAAACAAACAAACAACGAACCTTTTTTCATAGTTATATATTAATTGTTTGAAATATTGACTTTCATTATACCCTTTTCATATATTCACATAATATATATATGAATAGAAATCAGTTGGTTTCTATTCTAGTGTTGGGGCTTCATGGCACCAATTTCTTTGAAAGCTTACCCTGGTACCACTCAAAATTCCAAAGCCCAATTATTCCTGGTACTGACTTGGTCTCTAAAGAACATGCCTCTGCTCACTGGAAGATATGCCACCTTTAAAATCAGCCACCCCTAAATCACACAGAGGGCACACTGGAGATAGTTGGTGAAGCCGTCATTTATGGCTCTGTTTTTCCTTCAAGTTGGGGAATCTCACAAAGCCCTGGCTGGCCTGGAATTCAAAGAGATGGCCTGCCTCTGCCTCCCAAGTGCTGAGACTTAAGATTTATGCCACTACAGTAAGAATTCCTTCCTTCCCTCTTCCTTCTCCTTTCTTTCTTTCTTTCTTTCTTTCTTTCTTTCTTTCTTTCTTTCTTTCTTTCTTTCTTTCTTATCTCTCCCTCTTCTCCTTCCTTCCCTTCCTTCTTTCCCTTCCTTCCTTCCTTCCTTCCTTCCTTCCTTCCTTCCTTCCTTCCTTCCTTCCTTCCTTCCTTCCTTCCTTCCTTCCTTCGGTTACAAGCAAGCAACCAACCAACTAACCTGACCAAACTCAGATGTATGCGTATGTGTCTATATGCTACTTGTGTGAGTGCCTGCAGAGCCTGGGGAGCCCAGAAGATGATGTCAGGGTCCTTGGAGCTGGATTTGCAGGTAGCAGTGAGCCACCGGACATGGGTGCTGGGTTCTGAACTAGGGTTGTCTGGAAGGGCACATAAGTGCTCTAAACCACCAAGTCATCTCTCCAGCCACTCACTTATGACTCCTAAAGACTATTAGTCAATACTTTCCCTTGGTGAACACATGGTTCTTACTTTAGGGATGAGAGTGGCTAGGGACAGCCACACGAGCTGGTGGCTAACTGATCAACACTGTCTCAAGGCATAACTTTCCAGGTTTAACCAGAAGAACATGATAGGAAAAACCCACCGAGTCTGGAACACTACTTTTATGTCAACTTGACACAGGCTAGAGGCATCAGAGAAGAGAGAGCCTCAACTGAGAAAATGCCTTCATATGGTTGAGCTGCAGGCAGGCCTGGAGAGTATTTTCTTAATTAGCAATTGAAGGGGGATGTAGAGAGCTGCGAAGTGCCGCACCCTTAAGATGGTGCTGGCTTCTGCCTTCTGCTAGCCAGACAGCAGGTGCTCTCTATGATAAACAACACCTGTATTTGGTTAAGGCTGGATATCAGGCTTGCTTCTGCGTACGTGGACCTATCTGCATGTTCCACGTGGCATACTGGGGTTGGCCGCCCAAGGGCTTTTAAGCTGTGGGTTGGGGCTCCCTGGCAGTCCCCGGGAGAAGATTGTTCAAGGTTCCTGAATAAACCGCTTAAAGAAGAGTCTGGGCGTTGAGTCTTCCTTGTTGGTCGAGGTGGGCGCGACAAATGGTGGCCCATACGGGGAGTCTTTTCCAACTGCTTCAGAACTTTTTGCAGTCAGGGCATCGTGCTGGTAAGTTCCCAAGGTAAGGTGGGACAATTAAAGGACCGCGACACCTGGGCTGGCAGTCCTGAGTTCTATAAGAAAGCAGGCTGAGCAAGTCATGGAGAGCAAACCAGTAAGCAGCACTCTGTGGCCCCAGGTTCCTGCCCTGCTTGAGTTCCTATCTTATCCCTTTGATGATGAACGTGCTGTGAAATTATAAGTCAAATAAACCCTTTCCTCCTCAAGTTGCTTTGGTCATGGTGTTTCACTGCAGCAACAGTAACCCTAAGTATGGCACCTTTCTTTGCAGATTCTGAGACACTCAGTCTCTGAGCTGAGAGAATTGAAAAGAATCATCAGATTTGGGGCTGGAGAGATGGGTCAGTGGTTCAGAGAGCTTTCTGCTCTACCAGAAGCCTAAAGTCCATGTCTCAGCATCCAAATGAGGTGGGTCACAAAGGCTTGTAGCTCTAGTTCCCTGGGGATCTGACATCACATTTCAGCTTCTGTGGGCGTGGACTCATGCCCCCTCCCACCATGGTAAAAAAGTCTTAAAAAATGTATAACAGGTTTTGGATATGCTTCCAATAGAAGCACAGGGCACCTGAGGTTCAGCTTTGTACTTAGAAACAAACATATCTCAATGCACTTCCTGATGACTCTCTTCCTAGGCTTCCAAGTGAGAGAGTAAATGGCCTCCTTAACACATCTTCAAAGATTCCCTGGCAGGAGTCTTCCTTGGCATTCACCATCGGGGAACAGCCCTGGCTTCCACACAATAGGTTTGCACTGGATCCTTCCAGTCACTTTAGTTTATAGACTATTTATGCTACATGCTCCCACCAGGACTGAAAAACACAATGCCCTTGTAAGGCAGAAATATTTGACTCTCCTCTCATAGCTACTTATGACACTTTGAGCTGTTTGGGGAAAGGTGGCCAGCAGGAGGGTAGTACAATCCAAGAAATGGCAGCTGGTGTATGAGACACTATAGACTGTCACCAAGGCTTCCAGCTCTTGTCTCCCCATCCTATTTACACGGATACAGTGTTCAGATGACTCCCCAAACTGCAGTCACAGTCCACAGCCCCCACTGTTTGCTCAGGGAGGTAGGGAGGCAGAGTCACACAGGCTAACCTGGAACGCTCTGAGGTGAGAGCCGGGTTTCCAGCGGACAGGCACACTCAGAACCGACCGTTCTTTTCCATCTCCAAGCAGATGGAAAGCCATCAACATAAACCCTGGGAAAGGGCAGTCTGTGCAGATGTGGTTACTTTAACTAAAGAGAAGCAAACACCAAGCCAGACCAAAGACCACATGGAAACAAAACCCAAGCTTAAGACCGAAAATAACTATCCTTTAAGGGGCAGTATCTAAAGGAGGAAGGCTAGGAGAAAGAGGAGCATGCAGAGGTGTGGACAACAGCACTCTCTTGTGATTCAGACAACGGGGTGTTTGCAGCTAAGTTGACCTCTACGTGACCCTTCCAGAGGGCCACCTTCTAGCAAAGAGCCAAGGCCAGAGCACACAGTCCCCATTTCACCCCCAACACCCCAGCTGGAAGTCCCTAAAACCCCCACCCCACCCCAGCATGCAACAGTTTGGAACTTACCGGAAGGTGATTGAGAGGCACGTCCACCTGACCCAGGAAGTCGTCTCGTGTCTGTGAAGAAGAAAGCACAGCGTTAATGTTGCTCTCTGTTCCCTGAGTGGCAAAACTTCTGAAAATCCATCTCATTGCACAAAGAGACACCAGTCCAGGACCTGGTATGGATGCAGCCAAGGGAGGGGGGGGGTGAAGGCAGAGGGCCAAGATGAGGCACCGAGCTGTCACCAGGAGACCTGGAAGTGGAGCTCCAACATCTGGGCTTTAAGTGACTGACACTCTATGCGTACCTCCAAAAAAGAAGGGCAAGGAATCTTCTCGTAGAGATGGGAGCATGTGGCCAGTCAGGGAAGAGGCATATAAGGCCATTTAGGGTTTGGGGGCAGAGTTGGACCCAGCTTAAAAAGAAGGCAGGACAGAAATGCTGGGAACATTTCAACGCATACTTATCCTGCCATAAACTCAAGAGCTTCCCGGGAGAGGAGTCTGAAGAAGTACATGTGGCTAACTTACTGATGCATCTTATGAACTGCAGATCATAAAACGGAAAAAAAAGGTTTTTTTTTCTATCCAGTAAGTATGCTACAGGGGAATCCACCTCTAGGAGGAAGCCTGTAATTTTGGATAAGCTGTGTTCCTTGCTCTGTTGAGCACACAGCACGCTTCTTCGCAACTCGAACGGGACCACTGTGGTATTGGTTACGGGACTCACGGGTCCCCTCCAAGACTTTGGGAGTCACCCAGGATCAGGCTCTAGACCACAGTGCCTGACAACCGTATGTGTCCTGCAGTTACAGCACTTGTGACTAGGCTTCTGGTGTCCAGAGGACCTGAGGCACAAACCAGATCAAAGCAACTGCCTCCCCCCAGTGCACAGTTGCTTCTACTGCACACAAACTCACGAGGGCCGGGAAACTCTTTATAAAGAGTCAAACCCTTCCCACAACTAACTGATAAAAAGCAATGAGACACAGAGATCCTTATTTGCACCTGACCGGTGTACTGAGAAATCTTCCAATTTCAGACATTACTTTCTCATCTCCCATTTAGTGAAGCAGCAGGTAAGCATAACAAGGTTTATGGAAATGATTTACTCCAGGCTTGGGCATTTCCTTGTAGGTAGGTTAAAAATGTGATTAACTGGTGAGCTAGCTTGTCTCCTCCAAATGATGCATGAAGGATATTAGAAACCCAGTTCTAGCCAGGGGTGTATGAAGAAAGAATGAGAGTGGTCTCAGTGTTTGTATATTTGTGTGTGCATGCATTTTCTGCATCTGTGTGCATGCACGTGTACAACATGTGAAGGACATCATTCCTCAGGCATAGTCTATCTTGTTCTTTGAGACAGGGTCTCTCATTACCCTGGAACTCACCATGCATGCTAGGCTGGCTTCCCAGAAGGCCCTAGGGATCCACCTGTCCATGCTTACCCAGTGCACACGCCACCATGCCCAAATTTTTACATGGATTCCAGAGCTTGAACTCAGGTCCTCATGTATACATGACAAACATTGTTATTGATTGAGCCATTTCCCCTGCTACGAATGCTGTTTTGGAATTTTTGGTTCTTGCGTTTTCTTAGCTGTGACTGCTACAACCCAACATGGGGATCCTTGTCCAGCAAATGGTTGGAAGGGAGTCGTCAACACACTCTGCGTAGCCATAGCTAGCAGAAGGCCTGCACAATAATGGCAGTGTTTCTACCTAGCTGGCAGTCCCATTTCCAACCACCCTGACTCACACCAGTAACAGTCATGTAAGGAATTATGGAGCTGGCACACTTGTCCTCTACTTGGTTGACATTATTAATTCTACATTAGCTCTATAAATACCACCTAACTACACAATAAAAAGACAAACAAAAGAAATAGACTTGTTCCGTATCAGTGCATGTGAGAAGAGCAGTGCTGCCTTAAGGCTTCCCCTCCCCTCCACCCCAGCTATTCATACTCGAGGGACACAGCGTGAGATCATCAAGGGGCAGGTGTATCTAAAAGGCACCCTGAACTGTGAACTTAGTGCAGTTGAGCAAAACCTCAGGAACCATCTATATGTGTTTTCATTGCTTTGCCGGAGAGACATTAGTTTCAAACTGACTAAATAAGCTCAGCTCTAGCCAAACGATAAAAGCCAAGTGCCCAGCCAGCACTGATGGTGATGGCAACAAACACTGCCAAGATGAGCATCTGACACAGGCTGTGTGTCTGGCTGTGATAAGGCCTGCCGAAGCAGGCACTGACACCTGAGTGCTGTATGAGCGGCCAGAGGATGAAGTTCCGCCTGGGCAGTTGGTTCTTGAGTTTACCCGCATTCTGTGCCTCTCAGTAAGACATGGAGAGGAAGGCAGGTATGCGACAACTCGGGGCTTCTCTTCCGGTGTTGCATCTCAGCTGTGGGGACTCTCATGTTAACAGTCTGAGCTAAGTTTGGGGGTTTCTGTTAAAGTGATCATTTGGCATGTGCCCCTTTTCATGCTACCTCCCAACTTCTTCCTTTCCACAGATCACAAAGCCTACTGAATCCTCCAAGGCATGCTGGGGAATCTGCTTGCGTACGGCCAGGTTTCCTCCTTGCATTGCAACAACAATTTCACTAACACCCAAAGATGAAAGACGAAGAAGCCTCATCAAGGAAGGAAATGGAATGAACTTACAGAGATCAGGTGCAAGACGGCACACAGGCAGAACACATGGATTTAAACTGGTATTTCATCAGTCTCCAGAAGATGTGTTTGACCAAGAAATTCAGGTTTCAAAACACTTCCAAACCAAGGAAAGTCCGGGTAGCAGAATATTGTATTCTCCAGTGCTGAAGATGGACCCAGAGCCTCCGTCATGCTAGGCGAGTACTCTTAACACAAGATGTCACAGATGGGAGAGATGAGTGGGTCCCCTGGAGGCCTGGACTTTCGAGGAGGTATACAACATGCAAAGGAGCTCTGTCACCTGCTTGTGACAGTCAGAAGTCAGGGATGGGTATGACACATGGAGGCTTTCACCTAGACCCCTGACCGAGACAATCTGTGGCCGCCACAATATCCTTAGGATGTCAGTGTCACAGAATGACAGCCTAAATCCATGTTATAAAAATATTAGTCAAGCCACTGTTAGTAATCTGCAATACAGAAATGTTTGCAACAAACATCCTGACCACACAAAGCTACAAAGACTAGACTGCAACCCACAGCACATTTGGCATGCCTGTGACTACCTGTAAGTAGTAATGGTGTCAATTTCAACCAACATTACTCGTTTTTTTTTCCCCTCCAGGCTGGAGATGTGCGATTAAATAATCCTCCAATGTAATGATAGTGTATGTGTTTAGTGTACATAACAGTGAGAATGCACACTGGCCCCTCCAAAATGGGCATGTAAGGTGAAAGACAGTCTCAGTTACATTATTGGGGAAGTGAATAAACACACAGACTTAGTGCTCACTAGATAAATACTGATAAACTAAATGCAGGACCACCTTTCCCCATCCATCCATCCATCCATCCATCCATCCATCCATATATACATACATATACCTATCCAGTCATTCCTCCTGCTTATTGCCTGCCTCCTTTGCCTTTTTAATTTTTTTGATTTCTTTTTTCGAAACAGGGTTTCACTGTGTAGAACAGGCTGGCCAAGTCTGTTGGAGATCTGTCTGCCTCTGCCTCCCAAGTGCTGGGATTAAATGCATTTGCCATTACAGCCTGATCTCCTTTGCATTTTTGATCTAGGGTCTCACTTATATATCCCAGGTTATCCTCCAACCTGAGATCCTCCTGCATGGTCTCCTACACTCTGGGATCACAGGTGTGGACCACTTTGCCTTGCCCTTTGAAACAAGCAAGGGAACAAGGGTGCGCTGTCTTCATGCAGAGTTAGTTACCAGGGTGTTTAAATGTCATCAGGGTCAGATGCCTGGGGACTATAACCATGGCCCCAGTGAGACCCTATTGCAGCCCCAGTGTCCTTATGTGCACACTGGTTAGAGATGGCACCCCTGGAGTGGACACAAGGCTTATATGTCTTCAAAATACATGAGACTCAGTTTCTCAAGGAAAATGCCCACTCCAAGGTCCACCAGGAAGTCTATGGATCAGAGCAGCACCTGAAGACTGGAATCCAAACTCACCAAGCATCCCTACAACCCATTAACCCTGTTCTTTTCCAGACAGCTGTGTGACCCTGGCCCACAAAAGCTGAGGGGCAGGGCAGGGGCTGTTGCAGATGAAAGTAATTTAGAGCCAGGAAGAGTGGGTTCTCAGGGGCCAGACTGAGTCCCTAAGTCCAGACATATCACAAGGATCAGCAATTATTAGAAATAAGCCTATATACTATTGTAGCTATGTACACAGGAAGTGATTAATGAGATTTTTTATTTTACTTTCTAGTGTTGGGAATCAAATACAAGATATTAGTCATATGATACAAGTCTCTAACTCTGAGCCACACTGCATCCCTCATTGAAAAATTGTAACAGAAAATACCAGTGTTATTCAGGCATCTGTACTGGCCTGTCCTTGGGGTTCTGACAGGGTATGTCTTCAGCAGCAGCCACTAAGAGCACCACCTGTGCACATTCACTATGTTCCCTTTTAAAAGGGCCCTGCCCACCTCCAATGTTCTTCTCTTTCTTTCCCTCTCTCTGTTCCCCCCTTCTTTCCCCCTTTCCTTTCTCCTTTCTCCAGCTGCTCCTGTCTCTAGAGCCTGATTCCCCACCCCTTCCTGTCCCCTTTTTATGATCCCTTTCCCTAATTAAAAAAAACCATTGTTTGAACCCTGTTACATGGCATCTTTCTCCCGAGTACTGCTTTTCTTAAATTACAACACACATGAAATACAGTACTGTGTTACATGTGTAAGTGAACACGTGAACTGAGCTGTGATTTAGATGAGCTTTTTGGAGCTGCAGAGATGGTTCAGTGGATAAGGTGCTTGCTATTGCAAGCACAAGAACCTGAGTTTGGGTCTCCAGAACCCACATTAAAAAAAGCTGGTGTACGGTGTGACCTGTAAGCCTAGCATAGGGAGACAGACGCAGGTTTAATACTGGCCCCTGACCTC